GGGGGTTCTAGATTTCCCTTTCTTTTATCTTCCCCTATCTGAAGTAATCTGACGATGGGTGACAATCTGAGGAAAGCAGAGGACAAAAATAGATGGCGAGAGCTGGTTTTCAGATGCAGTGGTGCCCCCACGGTTGCCCCAACCACGGGATAGAAGAAGAAGAAGATCGAAAGTAAAATTCCTACTCACTTTGAGAATGACCACAGGCTCCTTCTTGATTCTGTCAATATCAATGGCCGGCTTACTGATGTCATCCAGTGTGTTTCCCGCGCGCATGATGGGGCCGTATCGGACACGGAAGTTGGGTCTGTTCGTCTTGATGTCCTCCACTGTCCGGAGAAACTCGTACTCGATTGGTACGTCCTGGGGGAAGGAGACAGAGTGAGGGGGCGGGGGATGCGAGAGGTTGAGGGACACACAAGTTAAGATAAGCTGAGAAAGAAAGGGAAGGGAATGTATGTGAGAAGAAAGGGATTGAAAGATAGGAGAGGATAGATGAGAGGGAGAAAGACCCATTGTGTTTGTAAACTGAATCAAAACTTGGACTGGTTGTTACGAACATAACAATCAAGAAGAAAATGCACATGTCACACGGTTTACCATTTCCTAAAGTTGACAACAATTAAAAAACTGATGACTTGCCGTCTACAATTAAAGAACAGACGACTTACTGTCAACAATTAGAGAACAGACGACTTACTGTCAAGTCCAGTTCCTCCATCTCACAGTTGTCTGTGTTGTTGATGGCCGAGGCCAGAGCGATAGCCCCCGCTGATGTGATCAGGTTGTTGCCCATCTGTGAACACACGGAGGAAAGAATTTGGATCGTTGTTGGGGAGGAGTACGAGGAGGAGGAGGAGGAGGAGGAGGAGGAGAAAAAGGTTTGTTGAGAAAGTGGTGGTAGAGTAAGAAGAGAAATACGGAAGTAGGAAAAGGAAGAAGTGGAGAAAAAAAGAAGAAAGATGAGGAGAGTTTCCACGATGACGAAATCGACCGTGGGAAGAGGAAGGAAGGGAGGGGGTAACGACGAGGAGGAGGAGAGCAGGAGGAGGAGGGGGGGGAGAAGTATAAGAATAATAAATTGTTAAGAGGGCCAGAGGAATAATAATAATAATAATAATAATATAAACAATAATAATAATAATAATAACAATAATACATGTAATAATAATATTAATAATATAGCAGAAAGCACACAAAGTGGGGAAAGCGTAATAGCCCAATAGCATCTTTATCTTTAGCAAAGATATCATAACATTATAATAATTAGTGACCGAGGTAAGCGTATGACAACAGCATACCGGTGAGTTAAACGCCCTGTGGGGCAAAACTTACAGTCGGGACTACATTACTATTATTAGATACAAAAATATCATTGACCTTAAATTATCACCCTAACCAGGATAATGATAAATAAAATGATGCTAAGATAATGGTGAAGTGACACAGACATTTGATTTGAAATGTATAATGCCCTCATCAATGCAATTTAGGTAGTCTATGGGGCGTTCATGCTGAGGATAAAGGAATGTTATCAAATGGATTTCACCCACACTGTATACGATGACTTGAGGAAAACAAAAATATGGACTGTTACTGAGATTGTTACGTAAAAACAAACCACTCACTCTCAAAACCTTGACTGTGTCGTTCGTGGTGAGCACTTTGGCGAACTTGGTGGTCACCTCCAGGTTCAGTCTATTGCCGGACACGTCGAGCTCCAACAAACTCTGGTTGACCAATAACGCGTCAGCGACAGCCAGTCCTCCGCGCGAGTCCAGTCCGTTCCAGGACAGGTTGCACACCTTCAGCCTCACGTTTTCCTACAATGGTGAAATCATATACGTTTAACGTCACTATCAACACTATTAGGTTATGTTTTAAAAGGCGGGACCTCCGAGTTTAACGTCCATCTCCGAAAGGATCGAGAGAAAAATTTAATAGGAAATTCATGCTAAGCTGGGGCTCGAACCCCCGAACCCACAATCTCACGATTACGAGTCCGGTAGCCTAACCACTAGGCTACCACGGTTTCCTAGAGGGACAGCAGAAACTGAACGCTGTGTTTGTTTTCCATAAATCATGTTGTGTGTTTCTGTATTTGACATGAGGGAATTTGTTGGTGAGAAAAAGCTGGGTAAGGAAGGATGATTGGGTATATTGGCGATTTTGACAGTCTTGCTAACGGTCAAGGTCTCAGTAAACGTTTGATGGGTGCTGATCTTGAAATAGTTGACTGATCTCGTTGTTTCGGGGTTTTTTTTAAACAAATTGACGGAGTGTTTTAAGTGATATCCTCCCCTCTCCTTTCCATTTTCCACACATTGTAACACACACACACACACACACACACACACACACACACACACACACACACACACTCGTACACACACATTCATACGCACGCACACAAACAAAGCAAAATAAATCAAAGAAAACAAAATAAAACAAAACAAAAGAAAAACTCTTTTCAGTAACAATAACTGATCGGTTTTTTTAAAAGTGCTAATCAGTCCCCAGTGTCGTCCGTACCTTGATTCCCTTTGCAACAGCGATGCCGCCTTTTTCCCGTAGATGATTCCAACTGAGATCTAGTATGTCAAGGTTTTCATTGGCACCTGGTGACAGAGAGCAAGCATCACATAAATAATCTGTGTAAAAAGCACAAACAGAAATAGAATAGCACAACGTCGACATACATATTTCATTTGCTGAAAAGTAAAAGCTGTAGTCATAGTTGCAGATAGATTGAACTCTAAAGCCTTGAATAAATTCACTAACACATACCCTCACAAACACACACACA